TTTCTGAAGAAGGGTCTAGGCCCGAAACGTCAGCCTTCCTGCTCCTCTGATGCTGCTTGGCCTGCTGTGTTCATCCAGCTCTACACCTTGTTATCTCAGATTCTCCAGCATCTGCAGTTCCTACTATCAGTGAAACATGGGTGTTAGTTCCTGTGCTGGAAGCAGAACTACAGCAAAAGCAAGACGTTAACATAGGATCAATTGAGCAAGAAATGAAAGTGGAAATTAGGTTCTGGATTTTGCTTGAGTTAAACATCTAGGTCTCTGGGCTCTAGAAGTAGAAGTGAAAGCTATAAGATGCTAAGCCAATGCTAGACCCTAATAGTTTGATTCTTTTTATAGTACAGGAGAGGGCATTTCAGCTCCAGTTGATGCATGATGTGAACCTGTCAGTCCTGTTCTTCCTGCAGTAACCCTTTAGCTCAGTTTGTTTCTTTCAATTCTGTCTACTTTCGTTTAAGTTGTTGATGTCTCTGCTTCCATCTGTAAACATACTGGTTTTCAAATCATTACACTCATTGTGTAAAGGAAGTTCTTCCTCCCATTCCTTGCTGGAGTAGTAGGTTTCATTCCATACACCACATTTTAGGAAGGCCTGTGAAGGACTATACAGAGGTTACAGATAAGATTTCAGAATAGTTCCAGGAATGATGGGTTGGTGGTGCTGCGTAAAGAAGGGGAGGTAGAACGGAAATTTGCCAGAGATATTTAAGATCAAGGAGGAATCAGGAAATGAAGAGAAACTATTTCCAATGAGCAATAACCAGAGGGAAACTAATTAAAAGGTTACTGGCAAATGAGTTGGATGCAATGGGGCAGGAATTTTTGCAATAAGTAAGAATTTCAAACTGCCTTCCTGATAAGGTGGTGGATATGCATCAGATTCAAAAGACATTTGGGGGAAAGATACATGAGGTCAAAGTTCAGGAATATAGGCCAAGAGTAAGGGGTGGGAGGAACTGGATTGTTTTGCAAGAAGTTGGTTAACAAATTCAAACTCTCAACTGGGGATTCTACAGTGACAATGTGAGACAGGTTCCCACGTTGTGGTGGAGGTGAAGGTGAATAACAGATAAATGAGACCGTGAAAGAGAAAGGAATGGCTGACCTTCACCCATTCCTATGTCTGACCACCTATTTGTTCTCTGTCTTTCTCTCTCTCTGGGCTCCATTTCTACTTGTCATTTACTCCTCCTCCCCTTCCTCCTCTCTCCCCCTCCAACCTGTTCTTTAGCACATCTACCAACCTTTTTCCAGTTACCATTAGTTCTGAAGCAGGGTCACTGGGCCCGAAATGATAATTCTGCTTTCTGTCCTCGGATGCTGTCAGACCTGTTGAGTTTTATCAGAAATTTGTTTTTGTTTCTGATTTCCAGCATCTGCAGTCCTTTGTTGGTTTTTAAGGAATGGAAAGTAGTTGATAGTGTGAGATGAGTAGCGTAGAACATAAACGCACAAACTTGTAAATCAACTGTCAAATGACTTTGTTTTGTACACCCTATGTAATACAGTGCATGGTCCTGGTTTCCATAATTGCAAGATTAACAGAAGAAAGTACAAACAAGAACTGAACAGCTAATAACCATTGAGAAAATCTGAACAGCCAGGGGCTCTCTTGAAAAAGAAAAGACCATGTAGTGACCTGATAGATCTCCAAAGATATAAAATAATTGATGTGGGGAGGACGTTTCCACTGAAGAACTGTAGACCGTAAATGCAAGTAATCAAAATGTAATAAATAGTTCAGAAGGCCGCTTTACCCTGGAGTGGATCCTGCTGCTGATTTGGTTTGATTCTGGCAGCCCGCATAAATGCATTAAAGATGTCTTAGATAGAAAGGAACAGAAGGACATCCTGTTCAAGTAAGGGTGGTTGAAAATTTGTTTGGAACATTATCTCTGGTGCACAGCCCTTGGACTGATTGGCATGTTATTGGAAGTTCAGTTGATCAGCATGGAGGTGACAAGCTGGTGGTCATGTTGAAAATGGAGGTAGTGGTGGAGTAATTAGGATAGATAGTTTACAATAACAGGAGAGGCAGTCACTAGAAGGGACTGACTTCAGCTGTCACATGATTCTTTTAAAACCAATTACATAAGGTATTTTGATGCAATGAGTAATGATCTAGAATGCAGAGCTTCAGAAGATGCTAGAAACAGCTTCAATATGACATATAATAAGGAATTGGATAAAGTTGCAGCCATGATTCATATGGTAGATCTCTTGCCTCTAATTCAGAAAGTTTGTGTTCAAGCCCAGCTCCAGGAAAGGCTGGCAGTGCAGTGCAATACTAAAGGACTGCTGGACTCATTTGAAGTCTACCAACTGAAATTTTAAACCTAAACCCCATTGACGGTCCATTGTCCTATTGCAGAAGAGTTGTTCCACAGTGTCCTAGCCCACTTGTCCATTTTCAGATTGTTGAGAGATCTTGTTATGTGACAATTGTCTGTTTCCTATATGACAATAGTGGTTACATTTCATAAGCAATTCAGCTGTACAGCACTTTCACCCATTTTGTGGTGATGAAAGGTCTTTGAGAAATGAAGATATTAGTATTTGAAGGAGGCAATAGAGGAAGGATTTTGTGGAGAAAAGCAAGAGATAATTGGAGAATTCTTTTAAATTGGTGTTCTGCATGCAATTGAACAAATGGTTGCCTTCCGTGCTTGGTGATTCTGTGTGCTTATAGAATTATCACAAAATTCGAGGCTGTGTTCCATTTTATCATATCTCAATGACCTACAACGTAGGTCGGGGGAAAACAGTGGAAACCTTACTTTTATTCTAATTATTTACAGAGTGCTCTGTTTCAATGTATAAGGGCATTTTAAACCAATGTGTTCTTTTGAATATTTGTGACAACATTTAAAATAGGTTTTCACGTGGATAAAAACTGAGGTACTGCTGTCTAGGCAATGTGTTGACCTATTCTGGATGCAATGCAATCGTTTAGACAAACTAAAATGTAATATCTCCAAGTTTGTGGTCAACAGCTGGGTGGCAGAGAAAACTGAGTGGAGGATGAAGAGATGTTACAGTGTGATGTGGAAAAATTGACTGGGAAAATGCATGGCAATGAAGTATGTGGATAATTGTGAGGTTATCCACTGTGATAGCAAAAACAGGCAGGCAGATGATTATCTGAATTGCATTTGACTTGGGAAAGGGAGGGTGCAATGAGACCTGCATGTCCTTGAACAGCAGTCACTGAAAGTAACCTTGCAGATGCAGCAGGTGGTGAAAATGGCAGATGGATGTTGGCTTTCTTGGCAAAAGGATTCTAATACAGGAGCAGTGATGTCCTGCTGCAATCTTGTTGAGACCCCTCCCCAGGAGTATTGTGCTGTGCAGTTTGACGACCTCATCTCGGGAAGGCTATAAAATAGAGGGAGTACGATAAAGTTTTGCCAAACTGATTCTTGAGGTAGCAGGACTGTTTTATGAAGAGAGATGGGATTGGTTAGTGCTATATTTGCTGGATTTTAGAGTGAGGAGGGATCTGAAGAGAAACCCTGTTCTAATGGTAAATGCAGGATGGATTCTTCTGGGGAGTTCAGAACAAGGCATCACATCTAATGATGTACAGTAGGCCATTTAGGACTGAAATGAGATGGTAAGAGAGGAGCAGAATTAGGCCATTCAGCCCATCGGGTCTGCTCTTCAATAATGGTTGATATCTTTCTCAAACCCATTCTCCTGCTTTCTCCCAATAACCCTTGGTCCCCTTACTAATCTAGAACCTACCTGTCTTAAATACACTCAGTGATGTGGCTTTCACAGCCGTCTGGCAATGCACTCCACAGATTAATCATCCTCTGGCTGAAAAAAACTCTGACCTCATCTCGGTTCTAAATGGTCATCCCTTCACTCTGAGGCTGTGCCCTTAGGTCCTAGTTTTCCACATGGAAACATCTTCTCCACGACCACTCTATCCAGGCCTTTCGGTATCGAATTGCACTTTTTTACAGTTTAATAACATCTTCCCTCCAGCAGGGCATCCCAAATTGTATCCAGTACTCAAAACATGGCTTTACCAATGTCTTGTACAGCTGTGATGTGATAGCCTAATTCCAATGCTCTGCTCTGAAGGCAAGCGTACCAAAAGTCACCTTCACCACCTGTCTAACTGTGATGTCACTTTCAAGGAACTATGTACCTGCACACATAGGTCTGTGTGTATGACGACACTTTCCAGGGTCCTATCATTAACTGTATAGGTCCTGCCCTGGTTTGTCTGAGCAAAATGCAACACCTTGCATTTATCAGAATTAAACTCTATCTGCCATGCTTTGGTCCCCTGGCCCACTTGATCAAGATCCTGTTATACTCTTAGTTAACCTTCTTCCCTATCCACTATACCACCAATTTTGGTGTCATCCATAAGCTGAGTAACCATGCCTCCTATGTTCTCATCCCAACCATTTATATAAATGACAAACAGCAGTGGATCCAGTACCAATCCTCGTGGCACATCGCTGCTCTCAGGCCTCCAGTCTGAACAGCAGCCTTCTACCACCACCTTCTGTTTCCTACTGTCAGCTAATTGAATACAAAATTGCATTCTCTTTCTGGGTCTTGTGATTTAATCTTACTAACCAGTCTACCATGCAGGTTCTTGTCAAGGCCTTGCTAAAGTCCATGTAGACAGCATCTGTTGCTCTGCCTTAATTTATCAACTTGGTCACCTCTTCCAAAAAAACCTCAAACCAAGTTTGAGACACAGTTTTCCATACACAGCCTTGCTGGCTATCCTTAATTCCAAATGCATGTAGATCCTGTCTCTCAGAATCCTCTGTCCGCGAATGTACCCACCAATGACGTTAGGCTCACTGGTCTGTAGTTCCCTGGCTTTTCCCTCCAGCCTTTCTTAAATAATGGCACAACATCAGCTGCCCTCCAGTCTTCCAACACCTCACCCAGGCTGTTTGATACAAATATCTCTATTAGGGACCCTGCAATTTCATCCCTAGCTTTTCACAGTATCCTGGGATATACTTGATCAGATCCTGGGGATTTCTCTACCTTTATGCATTTTAATACCTCCAACACCACCACCTCTTGTTATATGGGCTCTTCAAGACATCACTGTTTATTTCCCCAAGTTCCCTAGCTTCCATGTCTTTCTCCATAGTAAGTACTGACAAGAATCTCACTCATCCCCTTTGGCTCTACACATAACCGTGTTGATCTTTATGTGGCCCTATTCTCTCCTTAGTTGCTCTTTTGCCCCTATATGCTTGTAGAATCTTTTGGTTTTTCCCTTATCCTATCTGCTAAAGTTATTCCATGTTCGAGACAACAAGGTGCAGAGCTGGATGAACACAGCAGGCCAAGCAGCGTCATCGGAGCAGAAAGGCTGACGTTTCGGGCCTAGACCCTTCATCAGAAAATGTTCCCTTGCCTCAATGTTTCCCTCTTACTCCTACGTTCCCAGTACTCAAGGGATTCACTTGATCTCAGCTGGCTATACCTGGATATATGCTTCCTTTTTCTTGACTAGAGCCTCAATATCTCTAGTCATTGTGTTCCCTCCCCCACCAGCCTTACCCTTCACACTAATATGAACATGTTGGCCCTGAACTCTCCTTATCTTACTTCTGACAGCCTCCCACTTGCCAGACATCCCTTTACTTGTGAATAGCCTCCCCCCAGCTAACTTTTGAAAGTTCCCGTCTAATACCACTAAGTTGGCCTTGCCCCAATTTAGAACTGAACTTTAACAATGATCCAAAAATCTGAATCCCTGCACCAGCTCCTCATTCATCTGCCCTACCCTCCTATTCCTCCTCTCTCTAGCATCTGGCTAATCCAGAGAAAGCTAATTCCCTATTTTAATTTGCAGAACCTCATGTCTTAATGGTTACTATAGATTTGGTTTATATGCTTCACAGGAACTACTGCGACAAGGTGAATCTCTTAAGCGATCAGAAAATATGGTGAATAAGATGGACCAGGATTTGAAAGTTAGCCAAAAACACATCAACAGCATTAAGAGTATCTTTGGTGGCATTACAAACTACTTCAAATCTAAGAATCCAGAACCACAAGTCTCTCCAGTGCCTGAAAAACAAACTAGCAGCAAGTAAGTATCCTCCCCTCCTTTCCCAGTCTGTCTTTCCTCATTCTCTTGTACATCTCCACTTCTCTTTCCTCTACTACTTTTCACACCTGTCTCCTCCCAGATTTTATCCTTCACCCCCTGCTTTTCCGCTTGCTCAGCGGCATTCTCTGAAAGCAGATGCTTGTTCATCCTCTGTCAGCCAATATTGTTCAACACCATCCCTCTTCCCACTCCTCTACTCTTGGCCATTTCCTAACTTTGTAGCCAAACTTCTTTCTAAGTGTCACAGGACATCTTTCTAATTAAAAGCTTTTCTTATGTTGAATGATTTGGCGGTGATTAAGCTGTCCTGCTTTTGTGTAGATAATATGTAATTTTCATGTTATGCTGTGGTCCCAGCCATTGTTATTACTGGACAAGTTAGATCCCAGACTGAAATCTGGCTTGACAGATTTTTTTATGTAACAAAGTATTCTTCCACTGAAACACAACGCAATGCTACAGACTTTGTTTCAACAATAAAACAGAAATTTATTATGTGAAATAAGAGAAAATAGAGTCAATCAGGCTATTTACAAAAAAGACAATTTTCAAGATTTTAAAACACCATACAATCCCATTTATTTCAACACTGTTACAGTACTCTATCACCAGAGAGAATTCTCTTCTCTGTCACAACTATAAATTTAATTTGACAATTTCTTTCAATTCTCAGCCTGAGAATTTGTTATGTAATTGAGCTTAAACTTTCTTTATTCAAATTAACTCTTTCAGGGTTCAAGCCAGGCACTCTTGGAATGTAACTTTTAAAACTAAACTAAAACCTTACTTTGAAGAAACCCAATTCTAACTTTTCTGAACTAACTCTTTTCTCCTGAGAATCTGTTTCATATCTCTAACTTCAAGCAGATCTCTCTGAAGAGCAAAACAAAAGTTTTCCAAGCTGTTTCCTTCTAAACAGCAAGTTAATGTTCCTCAATGTGTACTCTGTCCACTCATAAAATTCTCCCAATGCAAACAAATCCCACTTTCACCCCAGGGATGCCTTCTCTTACATTGGTTTAAATAAAACAATGGCTCCCAACATACTGTCAATGATTAAATCCCTTCATTCACACAGGTGAAAACCCATATGCAACTAGCAAAATCTAAGCTGTCTGTTTAGTTTTGTAAATGCAAATAATGCTGTAATTTATTAATATATAAAGCATGCACATCGCAATTCAGCATTTTCAGGAGGTTATCAACGTTTGTTGGTTTCTTCCTGCACAAACTTAAACCAATGATTAAGATTGCATAACAATAGTTGTACAAGATCCAATCAATCCTTGCATTTTAATTGATTACAAATATTACACCTCAGTAAACTATACTCAATTACAATAGCCTTCAAAAAGTGATTCTAAGTTTTCAATATATGCAATTTTCCTGTAATCTGAATAAAAATTGAAATTGCTTTCTTTTGAATTAAGTAAAATTTCAGTCAGATATGAAGATATCTGGTTTTGGCATCTTGAAAAGCAAGCACTGATTTTATATTTTTAAAAAATTTGCAACCAAATCAGTGGCCCTTTTATTTGAATATACTCTTTTTTTTTATAAAAGTATAGTCAATAATCGTTGTCTAACTCCAGCTTCCTAATGTCTGACTCCTGTATCTACAGTACTTGGAAATCTTTTTAATCAGCCTTTCTCTACATGTTATGATATCTCTGGAGTAAGTGGGCCTTGAAACCAGGCCTTTTGGCCCAGAGGTAGGAACACTGCCACTGCTCCACAAGATCCCTGCTATAGTGCCCATGATTAATCCAGTTCAGTTTCTGGTCAATGATTCAGCAATGGGAATGCTTTGGAATTTTGAGGTGAGGTGGTTAGATCCTCTATTGTTTGAGGTGGTCATTGCCTGGCATTTGTGTGACATAAATGTTGCTTACCACTTGTCAGCTCAAAGTTGGATCTTGTTGTGTTTGACATGTATTGCTTCTGTATCTGAGGAGTTATGAATGCTCCTCAGTGTTTTCTCTGCCCAGTCATAAAACTCTCCCAATGTGAACAAACCCTCAATTTCACCCCAAGGATGCCTTCTGTCATAAGCATTTAAATAAAATCATGGATCAAGAAATACTGAGTTTTTGTTTAAATGATAAGACCCCTTTGTTCACAGATGAAAACCCATATGCCGCTGGTTTAAGATCCACAAAAGCTGAATGCTGCAGTTATCAGCAAGCATCTCCATTCTGACATGGAGGGACTGTAACTGATGAAACAGCAAAAGATGGTTGGGCCAAGTACACTATCTTGGAGCTCCAGCAGAGATGAACCTGAGGAGATTGATCTCCAACAACCGAAGCTATTTTCTTTGTGCCAAGCACAACGTCAACCAACAGAATGTTTTCCCTGATTCCAAGTGACTCCAGTTTTGCTAGAGCTTTTTGATGCCGTACTTGATCAGAGAAAGCCTTGGTGTTGAGTGCACCCATTCTCACTGGAACTTGGCTCATTTGCCCATGTTTGAACTGAGGTTGTAGTGAAGTCAGGAGCTGAGTGGCCCTGGTGGAAGCAAAACTGAGCAGATTATTGTGAAACAAGCGCTGTTTGTCCACGACTAGTTGTGACAGGACTGCAGAGCTTGGATCTGATCTGTTGGTTGTGAAATTGCTTAGCTGTGTCTGCCACTTGTTGCCTATGCTGTTTGGCATGCAAGTAGTCCTGTTTTATAGCTTCATCAGGTTGATAACTCATTTTTAGGAATGCCTGGCACTGCTCCTGGCATGCCTTCCTGCTCCTTCATTGAACCTGGCTTGATGGTTAAGGTAGAGTGGCGGAATGCCATAGTTATTGATGAGGCCATAGTTAATTTTACGACTTTATGGTTTGTGAATGTGAGGAAATTGTTCATTTTTTCTAATGCTGGAATAAAGCAACTTCCTTCCCTAGCCTAGAAACTTTACTTCCTATTAGTAAGTAAAGGAAAATGTAAGCTACTGTATTAAACACAAATTGTCTTTTGCCGGCTCTATATAAAGCAGTCAGTGGAACTGTTTGTTCAATCATAAGCTAGCATTAGTGACTCCCACAAGTCCCATTGGAGAGGCAATGGCCTTGTGGTATTATTGCTAGACTATTAATCCAGAATCCAGGGTTCACATCCTGCCATGGGAGAAGGTGGAATTTGACATCAATAAAAATCTGGAGTTGAGTCTAATGATGATCATGAAACTTTGTCCAAAAATCCCAACTGGTTCACTAGTAACTTTTAAGGAAAGAAATCTGGTTTGGCTTGCATGTGACTCCAGATCCACAGCAATGTGCTTAACTCTTAACCTCTGGGCAATTAGAGAGAGGCAAAAAATATTAGCTTAACCAATTATGTCCACAGACTGAATTGATTTCTTGAGTGTCTTTGGGTTTGATTTAAATTTGGCAGATCCTGCCTTTACACAAAACTAGTAATAAAACCTGAACTAAACTTGTGAACCAGCTTTATATTAACAGTCCTCCTGTTCATTCTGCTGATGTTGGGTCTCCTCTTTGTTCCAAGTTCCATGCACCCTTTCATTCTGACTTAGACTTAATTACTCTGTAAGAGTGATGTGGGAAATGGGATTCTGTACAACTGTGCTATATATGTCAAGCGCACTCTCTCAAATTTTGTTTCAAATAAGTCATCGCCTCCACTACCAATGAGTACTGGCCACGAAACTGGAGTCAGTGAGAATCAGGGTAAAGCTGTTCACAGGTTGAAGTCAGAACTCCTGCTAAAGAAAATGACTGTAGTTGTTCAGTCATCTTGGTTCCAGGACACTACTGTAGGAGTTTTTTTTTTAAGATAATGTTTTTTCAATTGTTTTATCAATGACCTTCCCTCCAGCATAAGCTCAGATGTGGAGTTGTTTGTTGATGACTGAACGTTATTCAATGGCATTTGCAAAGCCTCGATACTGAAGCAGTCCAGGTCCAAATGCAGCAAGACCTGGACAATATCCCGTTTTGTGCTGACAAATGGCAAGTAGTATTCGTGTGACACAAGTACCAGGCAATAACCATCTGCAACAAGAGAGGCTAATCATCACCCCTTGACATTCACCATTACAACTGCTGAATCTGACTGTCAACATTCCAAAACTCAACTGGACTAGCCACTTAAGTGTTGTGGCTACAAGAGAAGATCAGAGGATAGCAGTGAGTAATTGGCCATTTGAAGTCCCAGAGCCTGTCTGCCATCTGCAAGGCACAAGTCAGGAGTGTAATGAAATATTTCATACTTGTCAGGAGAACTGCATTATTCAGACAATTATTATTGTTAGCTTTTTTTGACCAGGGTGCTCACCACATGTACAGCTCAGTGCACAACCAAGTTTTTGCAGCAGATGACTACAATCTGTCCTTTGATGACAAATAAAAAGATGTCCTATTGTTTTCATAGCACCATGCAATAGTATTCAGGCACTTCAGGAGAGGTTTTTTTATTAGTCTTAGAACTTTACATTTCCAAATACTCTACATAATCAGCTGTTTGATATTTTAAAATCTTAAATTCTGTGTGGTAGATTACAAGAAGCTTTGGATAAGAGTATGCAGCAGGAAAACGAATACAGAGCAAACCATCCAAACCTGAGGAAACTAGACACTTCGGGTAAGTCTTTTTGGAGGGAGGGGAGGTGTGGTTAGTGTTGCCCCTCTGTGAGGCAATAGTATATACATGGACAAAGATACAGCTGTGACACTTAGAGCTCTATAAAACTCAATTTATTAAGTACTTTCATGAATAACACATGCTTTTAACTTCTAGAGATATCTGAATCACTGTTTTTCAATACCCTGGACTCTGTAACAAACCCCAAACGTTATTACTCGGGAGAGCTGGCAGCTGGCCAGGTGGGAACTCTTCTCGATGTCTTCATGCCTCCTGATGTAGAGTACCACCTGCAGTGTTAATCTTAGAAGTTCTGCTGAGGAAAAGGATTTTCTCGAGCTTCTTTGTACCCAGGTCTCTGTGCCAAGTGTATGCCTTATTTGGAATTATGTGCACGTGACCAATCCCAAATGTTTTGTCCTTATTTGATAGACGCAGCAGTTACTGATTTCCTGCAATCTTAGCAGACCTGACTGACTGACTGACTCGGCATAATTCCACTCTCACAGCAGCCCAGTATGAAACTCCTTATCAGTTCCTGTTATCTTCAGCCTTCTCCAACAGCACACAATGTACCAAATGGCTTTCCATGTTTACTGGAGAATGCCAACAGAAAATCCAAATCTGAGTTCACTTTTCCCAATAGAGACTACCGTGTCTTTTGTTTATTTTATCTTTTCTTGCTCTTTGGACTCTACTGCTTCACTGGTTGTTTGCTACATCTCGGAAGTGATTAAGCCTGGAAACTAGCTGGTCTGTATGTCTTTAAATAACTGGGTAAGTGCAGCCACTTTAGAGACCGTCGGAAGAGAACCAGAAACGAACGGCTCAGTTGGCAAAAGAGGAGACCCAGATAAAAGGTGAAAAAATACTGCAACTTCTTGGCCCGTTGTATTTCTGTGACCAACTCTGTCATGCCAGATTGGGCTCCTTAGCTGCACCAGCCAGTGTGTAACACTGGCCACCACGTTGCAACCGTCATCTCTGAAGATGGTAGACTGCTGCAGATTTAGGGTGTTCTGTGCTAATTTATGGGGGAAGGCGCATAGAAACGTGGAGTAAACTATTCAACCCCTTTTTGACCTCCATTCGTTACGCTCATGGCTGATCCTCAATGCTATAGTCCTGTTTGCTCTTCGTACCCCTTGGTACCTTCTTTAATATATAAAAATCGATCAGTCTCTTGATATTATCTGACACAAGGCTGACAACTAGAGGTAGTATTTCTACTTGAGTAAAGTGACTTGGTTTTAGTATGAGCAAATGGGAAAGCTACAAGATGAAATCAGTACTAGATTCATGGAATTTTAGGAGAACATTGAACTAATTACTGAAAGAGCAGCATGTTTTGAAGCCTTTGATAAATGGAAAACAACCATCTTGAAGTTCCAATATTCAAATTGTTGATTATACCAGCATAAAGGCAGATGGTTTGAGATTGCTGGAGGCCTGTCACTTCAAACTGAGGGCATTGCAGCACGAATTCCTTAATGTAGTCTTTTCATCATCAACTGCTTCATTAATGTCTTTTTGCCTCCTTGTAGTGAAATGGGGATGTTCACACTCATGGCAGTTGTTTGTTTGGTATCATTCATGACTCTTCGGTTACTTAAGTGTTTTCCCTTATGCAGCAAGCCCTGGAAATCTTTCAGGTTTGTGTTAATAAGTAGCAAATAATTTGTACCCCACACAAGCAGTTACTTTGTCTAAGAGAGCTCCTCTATCTCTCTTTGGGTAACAGCACTAACTGTTACTGAATCACCCACTGTTAACATCCTGAGGTCTATTTACCAGAAGTATAACTGGGCCATCCATGCTTTGGCTATAGTAGGTCATCTGTGAATTATGTAGCACACCATCTAGAAGATGCATATCAGGAATGGATTTCAGTGCACGCTATTCGACTTGTTTGGATAGGTACAGCTCCCACAAAAGCTCAGTGTAAACTAGACAAAGCAGCCCACTTCGTCGGCACCCCATCCACCACCTTAAGTGTCGACTTTCTTAAGCATTTGCACCATTGTTGCTGTGTATCACCTGGGGCAGCTTGTCAAGGTGCCTTCAGCAGCCCCTTCCAAACCTGCAACCTCAATCCCCCAGAAAGACACGGGCAGCAAGTGCATGGGAACCCCACCTGCAATTTTCCATCTGTGCTGTGCATCATCCTGGTTTAGAACTGAAACAGGGCCTGAAAAAACTGAGCAGGTCTGGCACTGTCTGTGGAGAGTTTCCCCAGTACTGTTTTTACTTCAAATCTCTAGCATCCACAGTACTTTGCTTTTATTCGGCGTGGAGATATAGCTCCATACCTCCACTGGGTCAGAAACTTGGAACTCCCTCCCTATCTGTATTCTGGATGGACTGACACAACATGGACTGCAGCAGTTCACGAAGGCAGCTCAGCTTATCATGGGCAACGATGAAGGGCAAAAATTGTCAACCTTAATGACAATGCCTACATCCTATGAATGATCTAATGATCAACATCACAATATAAAGCTGTGCAGCTTTCAAAATATGTAATTCCTTATCATCTTTTGTGATCAACACACTGAATTAAATTACCTATTCAGCAATGTTTTTCTATCCTTTAGGCATCTGATTGGAAGTGGAGGACTCCATGAAAGTAGTTCTTTTTCTCTGCAGGCAGAAGGAGCTCTGTCCCCTCAATATCCAGCAAGTTCATGTATGACAAAGTAGCCTTGGACTTCAGCCTCGCGAGAAGTGTGGCACTTCAGTGGCTAACAGTGAATGTTTAACTGAGTTCAAGGCACATGCACTTTTTTCTAGCAGGATTTAGTGCAGTTCAAAGACCTTTTGGAAAGTTTCTTTTTTAAAAGAAAACTGAATTGGTATGAAAAGTTAAGGAACACTAGAAAAGCCTCAGGAAAGCAAATCCAGTCCCACAGGTAGAAGTACAGACAAGAGAATATTTGTCTATCTTTGCTTGACCATTTTTTTCTACCCTCCCTAAAATGCTGTTCTTTAATTTGTTTCATCTTTGCTCTCTTACAAATCTGTTCTGTGTTTCTACGTAAATACGTTCCTGGCATCTATCTCAAATTTATCCCCTTAGCCTGAGCTCCACAATGAGCAAAAGTAATTTTCTTAAATTTATTTTTGCATATACTATTATTATCTATCAATAATACCTTAACTATCATCAAGGCAGAAAAACCCACAATCTGCCTTCCGGGGTAAGGACCTTTTGGAGCAGTTGTAGCAAATTTTCAAAGGAGTGTGTGAGTAACCAGAGGTGGTTGTGTGCATTGGTATCAATGGCATAGAGAGAGAAAGGGATGAGTTTCTGCAGACAGAACATAATAAATTATGCAAGAGGTTAAAAAGCCAGGATTTTGAGGGGAGTAATTTCTGGAGGGGTGGAGGTTAGATAGACCTTAGGTTTAGGGTAAAAGTTCAGCTCAACATCATGGGCCGAAGGTCCTGTACTGTTCTATGTTCTATGGATTACTCCTGGTGCCAGTGTGCAAGTGAGAGAAGAAATAGGATAGGGCACGTTAATGCATGGCTGAGGTACAGGTGCATAGGGCAAGGATTCAATTTTTTGGATCACTAGGATCTCTTTGGGGCAGAGTTGAGCTGTACGAGAGGGAAGGATTGCTCCTCAGCTGGAGGGGGGAATGAATATCCTCGTGGGGAGGTTTGCTGTTGCTACTCGGGCTTTAAACTAGTGTGGGAGATGGGACTGTAAGCAACAGTGAGATGAGAGAAGGTTGGCGCTGTTACAGTAGATAAGGGGAGAAAGTTAAATGGACAAGGCAGGCAAGAGCACAGCAGAGCGTGAGGTAAGACTGATTAAACTGCATTTATTTCAATGCAAGAGGCCTGGTGGGTAAAGCAGATGAACTCTGGCCATGGATGGGAACATGGCACTGGGATGACATAACTATTACAGAAACATGGCTGAGGAAGGGACAGGGCTGGCAACTTAATGTTCTGAGGTTTAATGTTATTGGAAGGAGAGAAAGGGAGGCGAAGAGGAGTAGCATTTTTGATTAGGGACAACATTATAATAGTAGTTGGGATACTCCTGGGGGGTCATTCACTGAAGCTATATGGGTGGAACTGAGACATTAGAAAGGGATGATCACCTTGATGGGATTCTACTATAGCCACACCCCCTGTGCAATTTGACAGTGGGAAATTGAGTGATTATGTAGGAGGATCACAGCTGTAACAAAAATAGGGTTGTAATAGTAGGGGATTTTAACTTTCCATGTGTAGTCTGGGACTGCCATAGTGTTAAGGACTTGGATGGGGAGGAATTTGTGCGTTGAAGAAAATTTTTTTATTCAGTGTGTGGATGTACCTCCGAGAGAAGTAGGCCCATTTATACCAATCAGTTTCTTGTTAGCTAACCTATCTTTTACCCATGCTAAAGCATTAACCCCTACTCGGAACTCTGATTCCTTGAGTCCTTGATTTCAAAGTGTAGTCTTATAATGCACCCCAGATAATTCTAAAAATTAACCAAATCTCGTTTACTGGTAAGCTTTGCATGAGATAATGCTGCAGTATTTAGTCTACAGCACCAGGTGGCACCAGTGTATGTCATAACAATATTGATGTATGTTCTACACTAATCATCATTCATAGTTTGGAGGAAATAGAATATATTTATTTAATTCACAAAGAATTGGTGTGCATTAAAGTTAATTTGCCAGTGCTTCTAAAAGTAATGTTCATTTTTTAAAAAGAAATGAATTGCAGCAAGAAACCACCTGTTCAATTTGCATCTGAGTGGAAATGATCTCTGCCAGGCTGACACAGGAGCACCACAGTAGGTCTCTGTTCTCATGGACGAAGAGGAGAGAACTGACCAGTGTGCTTTTTCCCTGATGTGCCATGCAGTGATTCATGTGAGGAAGTGATTAATTAGAGCTGAGATTCCCATTTGGCCTTGGTGTTTGGGTAACCTGCTAACACGTGCCTGCCTGGCCTGCATGAAGGCAGGTTACTTGGGGCTGAAGTTACAGAAGGCAGCTCTACTGAGGGAGCTATAGCTTAGCCATAATTGGGGACTTTGGAAGAAGTAAATTGCAGGTGGGGTGTCATTGATTGCAGAGTTTCCACATTATTTTGTGGAATGTGATATTCTAGCCAGGATTTAAACCATATTGGGGTTAAGGATTTATTTTTGTTAAGGTTAATTAAAGATGAAGATTGATGCAGTTCCAAAGAAAACTAATCATGAGCTGAACTTTAATGAACCATGACTTTGTAAAGAAACAGTCAAACTCCTAAGCCACATCAGTACAAGAAATAGACATATAACATTCTGTTTTATTCTTTTATTGGATATTGCAGCTATTGGCCCTCAGTGCATGCCCTTGTGCATCTAAGCTGTGATGAGCTCCTGTTCACAGCTGGCACTACTGGCAATGGATTGTGCAACTCTGACCCAATTCAAATCGCTTTCCTTGCCGCCTTTTGTTCTGATTCTGTACAGCATAGTAATTATTTCCATCTGTCTTTCAGCTAAAATGTTCCATATTAGTCATTGGCATACATTTTAAACTTTCACTTTAATGTTTAATAGGAATTGGGGCACCATGTTACAGTTGTATTAGTCATTAGTGAGGCCACACTTGGAGTATTGTGTGCAGTTTTGATCACACTGTTATAGGAAAGACACTTAAACTGGAAAGTGTGCAAAGAAGATTTGAGGATGTTGCCAGGGCTAATAGGCTTGAGTTATAGGGGGAGGTTAGACAGGATAGGACTTTATCCCTTGGAATGTAGAAGAATGAGGGGTGACCTTATTGAGGAGTGTAAAAGCATGAGGGGCATGGATAGCATGAATGCATGTAGTCTCTGTCCCAGGGTTGGGGAATTGAAAGCTAGAGGACATAGGCTCAAAGTGAGAGGGCTAAGATTTCGGAAGGACCTGAGGGGCAACTTCTTCATGCAGAGTGGTGCATATATGGAATGGATTGCCAGAGAAAGTAGTTGAGGCAGGTACAGTAGCAACATTTTTTTTTAAAAAACATTTTGATAGGTACATAGATGGGAAGGGTTTAAAGGGATATGAACCAATTGGAACTAGCTGTGTGGGCACCATGGTCAGCATGGGCCAGTTTGGACTGAAGGGCCTGTTCCCATGCTGTATTATTCTGTGTGCATACAGAAGAATATTGTGGTATAGAACTCATTGTTTTCTCTGCTAAGTCTTTCCTGCTTTTATTTTTGTCTCCATGTTGCGATTTTTCACCCTTTTTTAAACAAATATTTGATCCCCTATTGGACTTTGAATTCTTCAGTAATGGCCTGGGCACCAATGAGTTCGCACTTTACTGGCATTAAATATAATGTTTAAGATCCTTTTTTTAATTTCTCATTGGAAATTTACTCTGGAATCATTCTAACTTAACACAGCTTTCCATCAAGTAACCCTTTCAATCATAGGATCCCTACAGTGCAGAAGCAGGCCACTTGACCCACTGAGTCCATGTCGACCCTCCAAACAGCAGCTCACCCAGACCCACTCCATCCCTGTAACCCTGTATTTCCCGTGGCCAGTCCACCTAGCATGCAGATCCCTGGACACTAAGGGCGATTTAGTATGGTCAATCCACCTGGAGGTGGACTGTGGGTGGAAACCAGAGCAGCCAGAGGAAACCCATGCAGACATGGGGGCAATGTGGAGTTTGTACTGTTTTCTGAGGCTGGAATTGATCCTGGGTGCGTGGTGCTGCCTCACAGCACTGCGAGCCACTATGCCACCCCAATATTGTCTGTTTTTAGTGGGGAAGCTCTAACTTAAGTGTCCCACACAACTGGCCTTCATCCCTTATATCCATGTGAACTTACCTGATGGGTTTTTCTATCACTTATGTCCTCATTGCAACATTAGGCTCAATGTTCCTCATTTTACACCTGACTAGAAGCTGCATAAATTCATCACTTCAGTTTGTGCATTTTATACTTTCAATGTTAAAGCCAGAATTGTTTCCTTTGTTGATTGCCCTATCTGCTGGAGCTGTTTTCTTCCCCTTATCTTATTTTTCTAAAATTGTTGCAGCTACTACGAAGATCCTCTTGCTGTCATCAAAAAAATGATCTTTCAATCCACATTACCTCTGCCTATACGGAATGATCTAATGCTGGTACTTACAGAAACCATTTGCCATACATTTCCAATTTGAGAAACTCCCCTTTACCTAAAACCTTTGCTGCCTTCCCTCTGTTTACACAGGATGGGAACTAATATTGAGTCTGACTGCTTTGAGAACATTCATGCTTTAAGATCCTTGATGCAGATTGGTTTTTGTGCCAAACATCTTGGTCTGACATTCAGTTTGTACAGATTTTTATGTATTCACTTGAGACATGGGCATCGCTGGCTAGTCATCTCCTATTGCCCATCTTAAGTTATCCTTGAGAAGATGGGGGTAAGCTGTAGCCTTGAACTGCTGCAATCCACTTGCTGTAGGTAGTCCCACAATGCCCTTAGAGAGGGAATTCCAGGATTTTGACCCAGTCTTGGTGAAGGAACAGCAATACATCCAAGACAGGACGGTGAGTGGCTTTGGAGAAAACGAGCAGGTGGTGGTGTTCCCAAGTATCTGCTGCTCATGTCTTTCTAAATGTCAGTGGTCACTGGCCTACTCCCCTAAATCAGACAAGCTTGTAGATTCCTTGGATGGGGATATAGCTTGGTTTTTTGTTTGTTTTTTTTTGTTTTGCTGATTTTTTTTTTGAGATGAGAACTGGTAGTAGGGCTAGATAAACTGCTCTTGCAAAGCGTTTGTGTAGATTTGATGGGCTGAATGGCCTCCACTTGTGCTGTAATCATTGTTTCTATCACCAGGTTTATCTGATGCTTTTCAACTGGAATTCCGCTTTCTGTATGTCAGCTCTGTAGGCTTTGCATTCTCTGTTTGGAGATCAAGCCACACTAGCGATGTGAAGTGGCAGAGAACCATTTCTCTTTTGCATCTGTATTTCTGTCCTTGGATATGAGGCAATCATTTGTCTTTTTTAAATTGACTGCAGAACTATTAATTTAGTTACAAGATACCTTTCTGGTTTTTGTGCAAAAATCAAAGTATCTGGAAAATTACCTTGGGTTAAAAGTTTGAATTTTTAAAAGTAAAATTCCTCCTGGTTTGAATTTTGCTAGTTTAATGTTTCTTTTCTCTTTTTTAGGTTTTGGAGCTGGTAGCAGTTCTGCTTCTCTTGAAGATGATCGTTACTCTAAAAACAACGTTCTTCATAGTTATCATGCGCAGATAGATAGCAATCTCGGTAAGATATTGTCAGACTTGTAGTCTTATCTGTGTACCTGCATTTACTTATTGTACAAGTTACACCCTTCCACCACTCAAAAGAAAATTCCAGTAGACTGATACTGGGCAGATACTACATTCAATTCTGGTCTCCCTGCTATAGGAATAGGCTGTGAAACTTGAAAGGGTTCAGAAAAGATTTACAAGGATGTTGCCGGGATTAGAGAGTTTGAGCTATTTGGGGAGGCTGAATAGGCTGGGCCTTTCAGCCTGAAGTCTCGAAGGCTCACAGGTAATCTTAGAGGTTTGTAAAATCATGACCATGGGGAGGATGAATAGCTCATGTCTTTTTCCCAGGATAGGGTATTCAGAACTAGGGGGCATAGGGTTAAGGTGGGGGGTTTGGGGATGTTTTTGCACAGAAGGTGGTGCATGTATGGAATGCGCTGCCAGCGGAGGTGATGGAGAGGGGTTTGTACAATTACAACCTTCAAAAGGCAGCTGGATGGGTAAATGAATAGGAAAGGTTTAGAGGGATATGGGCCAAACAGTGGCAAATGGGATTAGATTAATTCAGGATATCTGGTCAGCATGGAGGAGTCAGACTTAAGGGTCTGTTTCTGTGCTGTGCAACTCTGACTGCAACTTTGAAGATTTCAAGCTTTTCGTTGGGCAAAGGTTGTGGACCAAGGTAAATAAATTGAATTAAACTACAGGGGTAATGCTGTAACGCAGTAGTTCCGTTCCAGCACAACATCGCATTATAGAAAATTGCGCTCTAGAAATAATGGGCCTATGGGAAAAGCAGTGTTAGGGGCAGGACATCATCCAGTCGCAAGTAGCATTATTAATTCAATGGAAGTGAGACAATCCATAAAGCTCCAGAGTTCAGTTTACAGCTAAAAGCTCGTGGGTTGGAGAAGCAGACAGTAATGAGCAGACTTACTGATTCTTCATCACTGCAGCCATAGATTTGCTTCCCACCCACCATGTTGTACATTCACACCCAAACTTCAGTGATGCTCATGATCATGAATAGCAAACCCTCAGCCACGTTCTGCGACCACCAGCAGCATTAATCACCTGTCGGCAGTAAGTCTGAACCACCGCAGACAGCATCCTTTCAACAGTAAAGTAAAACCTATGGCCACCAACAGAAACACCAGGACACCAGCATTTCCTGAAATAATATCACCCAGTGCTCAGTGTCAATATGATTCAGCAGCATCAAACCCCAGCACAAAAACCAATCACTGAGAATAATTATCTCCAGCAACATCACTTAGTCATTGGAGAAAATCCCAATCACCAAAACTTTACAAATACCAGCAACAACAAAGCCCAACTAGCAACAATATCAAGCCACTCGCCACCAGCATTGCCCAGACGCTAACAGCTAAATGCATTCATGGGTAAGACCATGTATCTGTCAGAAACATGAATAACACTTGGTCACTGGCAATCGCATCACCCATTCACCGGCAGCATGTCGCACGTTTGTTTTCACTTTACTGTCACAGTTCTCTAATGCAAAACATTTTGGGGATCGTTTCATAGCCAACACAACACCATTTCCCCTATTTGTCAATTGCGTTGTAGCCGATTCATGTTGCTGGAACACGCGTTATAGGAGAACCCCCTGTACTAGGCTGATATGATCTAATTCTGATGTGATCCTATGTGTCTTGATGCCTACAAGAGTTTTTTATAGTTCCGAGAGGCACAAATAGCCTATCCTTCGTGGCTTGTTCTTTAGATGATCAGTCAGCTTTTATGCTATGTGTGGCCTGTTGTTGCTGTCAACAGATCTATCATCAATTGTTCCAAAATTTCTGTACCTTTTTTAATTTCACATACTGTAAAATACCACCATCACCACCCCACCCAAACAAAAGGTCCTGTTGAACAAGTGTACAGCCTGCAACAGAGGCAGAAACTCGCTGGGTGAAGGATCAATTGTTGCACACGAGGTACTTTAATCTTAGACTACAGCAGGACTTTCTGGTACACTAAATCTTCTGTGCCCCTCCCCTCCTTTTTGTCCTTCCTGAGCTTCTAGTTTCTGCCCTGCTGTTGTGGGAAAGCATCACGAGGTCACTTATTTACTGGCTAGTAAATGTCTTGTCTTATGGTCCCTCCAAAGTAAAAGAATGCAACTTGTAGATAATTTTTATTTTGCCAGTCAATAAAGCATTTCCCTCCTCAGACTGCTGTGCTCAAAAGTAAAACATTTTTTAAATAATAAAGTGCAATGTAAATACAAGTTTATCAAATTTATATTAATCATTCGAGCATACCACTTGCTCATAACTGTGGTTAGCTTGTATTTCTTTTGCATTCTTGTTGCTTTCTATTTTAATTGAATTTTATGAAGCATACTCCTTTTTCCAAAATCACCTTTCCTTTTACTGTCGGAAGTAGTTCAGTAGGGAGTTATTGGAGAAGTCAATCTTGTAGGTTCAAGTCCAATTGCAAGAGTTTGAGCACAGGAATTTAGGCTGGCATTCCAATGCAGTACTGAGAGTTGCTGTTGCCAGAGGTACCATCTTTAGAGTAAACAGTTGAATCAGGGCCCCTGAAATGTTTTGAAGAAGAGCAGGAAGTTATCCCCACTGTTCTGATCAGCATGTATATTTGCACCCATAGGTGTTTAAGGTTAACCTTAAACAGCAGGTATGTCCCTGAATCAACTTCAAAAGAACAGATGATTTGATCATTCACACTGCAGTTTATATGAGCTTCTTGTGTGCACATTTCCCCAATTTTTATCAATGACTACTGTTCAAAAGTATTTCATTCGCTGTATAAGTATCTGAGATTTCCTGTGATTGTGAAAGCTTCTGTAATGAATGCAAGCCTTTCTAGTTATCTAAGCATGAGTCATGGTTCCTTCTGTCTCTTCTCTGTAATCACAGATGAATTGTCCTCTGGCCTTGGCCGTTTGAAGGGGCTGGCAATTGGCCTGCAGACAGAAATTGATGACCAGGATCAGATCATTGACCGATTGACGACCAAGACTGAGTGCCTGGATTCTAAGATTATTGCAACTGATCGACAGATTCGTAAACTTTAAAACGTCGCTTGGGATTTTAAATGCTGTTTTAAAATCCATCTTGAAAATAGCAGACCTTGCAGAAATAACACTTTATTCAGATTGGTTTCATGAGTGGGTTTGAGAGAAAACAAATTGCAACACCTTTCCTCCCCAGTAAAGAAATTGACTTGATTCTTGACAATGTATTTCTGAATGAATAACTACAGCACCTGAATTTTTGATTATGTATGCTAGGTGTCTGCGTTACAAATACTAATTGATATGATGCAATACAGAAAGGAGCTGAAGTTGTGCAGCAATTTTACACATGTTTAATGTGATTCATCTGTGCCATTTTGTACAGGTGGCAGAAATTGTACAAGATTTAAAACTTGAGTCACTACTAATGCAAAACCTGGATGCATTTCTTGTTACTGGTAGCTTTGACGGAATAGAGCCAGAAAAACTGGCCTGTATGAGGTCACTGAAGAATCATTAAACGTTAGACTCCAGTTCTGTGCTGTGGTCTAGTGAGTCCGATTTAGCTGGTTCACACTTTGCCTACTCGCTAACAATTCAGGATATTCCCATTCATTCTTGCCTTGTCTGTGTTTTCGCTTATTTTGTGAAGATTCTGTGGATATATGTATTTGGTAATTTGTGACTTGCAGCAGACCAGCAATGTTTCAACGTTTTATGAAGATTAATATATGTAGCAACAATAAATGTTTTCACCAATGAGTTATCTGTATTCAAAATGTACCCTTTGGATTTTTGGATCAATGGAAACAACCTCTTTTTGTAAGTGCCGTTTTGAACATTAGGTCATTTGTTCTCGGAATCTCAATTTGTAGCATATGTAAACACTTGAGTATTCAAAAAACTCATTCTTCGTTGTAAATGTACCTTGGCACTACTAGGGACTTTTTGTAGAGCAGACCTGTTAGAAGCTGTTTAAATTTAATCCTGTTTTGCTTGTGATGTATTCGGAACATTTTGGCTAGAAGAATCCTTGCTGACCACTTTTAACTGAACGCCAAGCAAATGTCCAGCCAATTGCCTTTTATTTTTTTTAAAAAATTAAAATAATAAATTTTAGGCAAAGTGGGTAATATCTTGATTAAATTGTCACAATCCTAAATGGTGTATATAGGAATGGAGTGTACCTTGAGTTTACACCCTTGTCTTCACACCCGCTACAATGGTGTTTAATTAGTCTGTACAATGTACTTCCTTCCTCACTTCTTGCTGTCTGTCATAGAACTGAGTATGTTTGGTGTCCAAGTCACTTTTTATTGGTGTTTCCTTGCCTTTGTTCTTTCAATTTCTTGTTTCTATAGTGAAATTGGAAGAGCTGATTAATTGAGATTGTGAACTTCGTAGTCTTTATATAGGTATATGCTATTCTCTAAACATCTGACAGGGAAGATGCAGCATTTTGAAACACCATGAATCTGACCCCACGTTAGTTGCAACTATCGGACTGCACCTTTGTCTAGTTATGGTGCCAAGGTGTCTGCTGAGAAATGAAGGATCATCACAAAGCTTTGTTTCTTATTGCAAAGTGTGTTTTTTCCTCAATGCTTGTGTTTTAATGATGAAGTATGAAAGTGAGTGGAAATAGTTGACTAAGACCACCAGGATCAAAATTTTTTTCTTAAGAATCTGCAGTTTGTCTGTCATCATAACCAGTTTATTTATTGTCCTTCAAATAAAGTTTGTGCAAACACATTACACCTGCTTTTTACCCATTAACCTTTGTAAGTCAGGTCAGGGTTGGGTGAAGAGGTCAAAGTACAGCCCATGTAGAAGGTTGCAAATTTCTTTCTCATGGGGCTCTAAAGTCCAAGTTAGTAAATTAGCCCATCTGAGCATACTTCAAGGGGAATTTGGTAGGCCATTGCTAGACCATCTGAAACCCATTCAGCAACTGAGTGTTTCATATGTTTTCTTATGAGTAATCTATATATAATAGCTGTTCTAAAGATGCACAAAGAATGAGCAGTTAATCTATGACTCTATAATTAATGGATCCAACATTTTTTTTAATTCACTGGTTTTTGACTATGGCTGAATATTTAAATTGAAATATATAACTGTTTGTCCCAAATTGTGTCTCAAACTGAAGATGTTGATTTCTATTTCAAAAACTTTGACATTATCTGTTCAAATTTTACAAGGTGGATGCAGGTTTGTAACTATTGCAACTTCATCTGGGTGCAGTAACTAAGCATTAAAACTAAGTTTCTTTTAATGTACTTGAGAAATCAAACATTAAAAGAGCAATAATTTAATGGGAATATTGAGTATGCAGACTTCATTGCTTACAAACACACTCGTCAAAGATTTTCATTTTCATTTTGCACTGACCAGAACAGTTTACAAAAGTACCAATTCAAGGAGGCAATCAATATTTATGCTTGAGAGGAGATGATTGGCAAGATGCTTACTTGCCAACTAATGTGCAAGTTAATGATTTGGCAGTTAACTGCAAGGTTTTGTTTCAAGCCTGGCAGTTAACTGGCAATCATCATTAATGGGTGCATTCTCCACAGAAGTACCTCTACCAAATTCCACTTACCAACTGAGCTGCTCCTCTCATCTAGTATACATATTTTCCCCCTCAAATTAGTTTTCTTGAGAATTGTCTGGAGTGCAAGACACACAAAATTTGACAATTGTCTGTCTTCAGCAATAATGCTGTTATGTACTACCAAACAGCTATTTGTATGCAAACTATAATCTTATTATTTCTAAATACCAAATATCATTTATTCATATTCCATAATTATTTGCACGCCATTGTAACAAGTAATTTAGTTATTTTGTGAGTTGACATAGCCAGAGTATTATCTTTGCTCTTCATTTGTGTACATTTTTCTCCAAATGTACACTAAATTAAGATGTGAATTTGAGAATCTGCATAAACTAATTGAATTTTTCTTATGTTCATTTTTCAAAAAAGGTGAAGCACAATTAGCTCTGCACTAGTATAGTGCTTTGTGTAGTCCAGCACTGCTAGTGGTATGGTGTGTAATCAGCTGGTGTCTGAATTTTAAACTCCCAGAAAGTAAATTGTGTATGGTTTGAGAGCTTAAAAGTTCTTGCTGCTCAATCCAACTTGATAGGGGAACATGCTACAATACCAGAAGTATTTTGAAACCTTGCTGCTGCCTTAGTTCCTTTCATATGTTAAAAAGATTTGTGTAGATATTTGACCTATTAGCCTGTTGCAGGTTTTGCTAGACATGGAGCCTAATGCATTCGAACAGTTGTTTAGGTAAATAAGAGTGCAGCATTTTTTTTGCAAAACTGGAAAAGATGCCGTTCCCATACTACTAAACTCGACATGTTTAGATAGAAATGTTATATGCAGCTAACTGAGTGCCTTCTAGAAAATTTAATATGCCAAAAGTACTAACCTAGCCTATGTGGAATAGGTTGTACTAACATTTTCAAGGTGCATGAAAGCTATAGGATTTCTGGTCAAAATCTATAATGTGATACTGCTTTAACTGTAAAAATACTTTGAAGAACCAACTAATAAAATGTATTTGATTTGTTACTGGGCTGGAAACATTGTTACTTTGAGCTTTTAAGTAAAACTTTTCAACTGCTTTCTCAATTTTTGGACTTTTAGTTAGAAATGTTCTAATTTTTTGACTTCTGCAATAATCCCTTACATGCATGAAGGGATTTAATCTGGTGAGGGCAAGTCAGTGAAACTGAAATTTTATCTATTTTATACATTACTTTTGAATTTGCTTTGTTTTTAAGACTGAGACTGATCTGTGAAGATAATTTGGATGAGTAATGGCTAAGCTCCATTGATTAATGTGGAACCAAATTCAGCTATTTGTGATTTCCATCTGCATTAATGTATCTTACTGTTTTTTAAAGTGGATTTAAAATACATGCATACCTGACTAATGCTGTTCCTTCTGCATAAAACTCATCCCCTCTGTGGGTGACATCCTTAGAAGACTTTTAGAAATGTGCACCTGGTTTTTCCACTTAGTTTAACCGAGAATGCAGCTGTTGTATGAGGAAATGCGCTTTACAAAATCTCAGCGTTGGTAACTATTTACTTACTGACAATTTCACCAGCTTTTTCGGGTCAGTTTACTTTTTTCCCCTCATCCTCCCCTCCTGCAGTCACTGAGCCTTAAGTGGAAAAATGCAGAATTGCCTAAACCATGAAACAATTTGTTTTGTGCCCTGTGAAAATAGTTGTGAGATCTTGAATACAACTGCTAGACTTGTTAGGCTATTTGAGGATGGCTAAACCAAAGAGAGCCACTTTCCTTCTCCAAAGGATGCAAGTAAATATTCAGTACATCAATCCAATCCTTTCATGGTAGCCATTACTCATGGTAGCTGCTTGGTCCAGATCTATGTAATTTGGTGGAGTTTCAAGCAATGTCTCCTGGTAATTAGACCAGTCATAAATACTGTGTCATCCTATTCCCTTGTGTAGTACTTTTTTAACTACTTCCAGGATGTCCCAGAGGGATTTACACAATGAAATAGGAATTTGAGTCAGTTTGAGAACAGGAAGCTCCCACAAACAACGGTATGATGACCAGCTAATCTGTTTGGAACATTAATTGACATAAGTATTGATTTAAGACAGTAGGGATGGTGTACTTAGTCATGTTCAAAGTAGTACCGTGGGTTCTTTTCAGGCCACCTCGAAGGGAGTTGGGTCCTCTGTTTAATGTCTCTTTGGAGAATATCATTTTATTCACTCGTGGGAAGTGGTTGTTCCTGCTAGGCTGGCATTTATTGCCCATCCCTCGTCGTTGAAGTGATGGTAAGCTGCCTTCTCGAATCACTGCAGTCCCTTTGTAGGTATCCCACTTTCCTGTTCAGCAGGGAGGTCTGGGTTTTTGACCCAGTGATACTGAAGCAATGACCATATTTTCAAGACAGGGTGCTGTGTGGTTTGGAGGAAAACCTGCCCAGGGTGATGGTACCAGTTTTCCAGTGTAGTACTCATTTGGTACTTCACAAAGTGTCAGCCTAGATGGTGTTGTCTTTTGTGTGGTCAGGTCTCAAATCTCTGGTTTCACCAGTGCTGTAGCTGGTACTCATGTCCCACAGTCAGGTTCAAAGTGCAGGATTTGCTCTTTTCTCTTAATTCTGCCTCTGCTTCATTTAAATTTGTTTTATTCACTTATGGAATGTAGGTATTACTTATTACCATTCCCTCCATGAGGGCTTCCGGTGCAGTAGTAATGCCTTGCCTCTGAGCCAGGAGGCCTAAGTTAAGAAGTTCAAAGATTCTCAGACAGCACCTTCCAAACCCATGACCACTTCATGGGAGCACCACCCCCTCCAACTTTCCCTCTGAGCCACTCGCCATTCTGACTTGGAGATATATTGCTGTTCCTTTTACTGTCACTGGGATGAAATCCTGGAATGCCCTTCCTAGGAACTCGATGTATGGCTGACTGTTTTGTTTATTTGCCATTTTGAATAGTCAGACTTTTAAGGAAAGCTGTAGATGTTTGAATTGTTTTCATTATCTCTCCTTGGACCATCGATCATCTGAGAGTTGAAAAACTGGACGTTGTGAGGAAAGTGCTTTTCAGCTAACTGGATGGAGTTTATAGTCCATCAAAGTCAATGCTGCAGGATTTTGTATGTTTGTAGATCCTCCTGCAAAATACCCTCTGGTAGAACAGGTGAAGGAAAACTTGAGTACCCACACAAGCTGATTAATCTTGGGCTAATCCTGATCTGTACAGCTGCATACTATTGTACAATACTGAACATGTGTGAGCGCTATCACGCTCTAAACTGCAAATTATATTAAATAAAACTTTTTTGCCGCCTTTGTCTTTAAAAAAACTTCGCAAAGTAGGTCTTCCAATTAATTTGCACTACTCATTCTTTTCAGTCTTGTGTCTTCTGGGTTCTTCCTGAGTTAAAGCAGGAAGTTTCTAACAACAATTTGTAAAACTACAAGTCTCCATCTTTGGCTGAGTACATTAAATGGAGTTAGTGTAGGGTCCACTTGTGATTGGATCTCATTGTAATTAACACTGCCACAAAAGGCCAGGATCATAATTTTAATAAATCTAGTTAATCAAGAATAGATTTTTTTGAACATTACCATGTTCCCAGCTTCTGACAAAAACTGAGAGCTTCTGAAACAGGTGCTTGTTAAATCTCACTGTTTTGAGTGTCTTGTGCTAGCAGCCCATTTAATCTGCAATAATACAAATGAGCACTTGTGTCCTTCCTATTATAAATCCAAAGAGGATGCAGTAACTCTTGCAGTTATGGCACTTTGACTGATGACTAAACTGATTGTTTTATACAGAACTTAACCAGGTGTCCACAACAGGATATACATGACTGTAACCTATCCTTTTGCTTTCTTGTTTCTCATTTGATCTGGATGTTTTATGGAAAGCAGGAAATTCATTTTGTGCCCTGAGTGTTAGACTTGCCACTGCAGTTACCCTGTTAACAATCGATCAACTGTTATTTTTATTTTCCATCTGTTTTTGCCCTTGGAGAGTATTAACTGTATGAAACTATATAACTCTCCTTGAGGGACTAATTTCCTCGGCAGCATGTTGTGCGGGAGAGAATAATAAGTTAATGTTGTACAGGCCAATCTGCCTCCTTACAGACTCTGTTCTGATTGCACAGTGAGCTGCCCAAGCTAATTTTGAAAGCTTATTCATTTGATTTAGCAATTCATTCCTTTCCTGGAATGGATTGAAGTACTTACAGGGTACCCTGGTGTGTGGTTTAATAGTAAATGATTTCCCTCCCAAGTGCAATTCTTTGTGAATCTCTTTTCTGTTTCTCCCTCAAATCAGTGATCAGGATCAGGCTCAGACTGGGTGCAGGGGGGAAATAGCACACTGGTGCACTAATCCCTCTTTCTGACATTGGGATTAAACGGTTTGTAGAGGAAGGAAAACGTGGTCATTATTTCATCATTCTCAATGAAACCTCTGCTGTAGCTATTTTTTTCAAGTCTAAAAACCAACCAATTTGCACTGGAATCTCAGTACAGGTTGATTCATCTGGCCTGATGATTTGAAACATGCCCTTAGCATGAAGGGGAGTTACTGAGAGTGGGTATGCCAAGAGGAAGCTTGAAAACTGAATACCCTTTACCCTTTACCTCCCTCTACTCTCCCCTTCCCACTGTTAGCTGCCCCACACTTTCCCCACTTGGGCTCACCTCCCCCCCTCCAGTTTCTCCACTTCGTCCACTCTCCTTTTCCTTTTCCTTTTCTTTCTATCCTTAGATCTTCCTCTCCTCCAACTCTCTCAC